TGCTGCTGCCTCCGCTCAAGGGCAATGCGCAGGGCCAAGTACTTGGAGAGGTGGTCCACTGTGGCATTCCCAGTTGTCTTCACATACCTGGAGTGGGAGGGAGGACAGGCTTAGAGCCAGGACGCCTCAGATGGGGACTGGAGGTAGGGGCTTTCCAAAATGGATTCTGGGTTGGGGTAGTATTCTGGGTTTGGGCAAAGCCCACTTCTGATGGAAATCTGTGATCTTTGGTTTCTCAGTGGCTGGGGGAAGGACAGGGCTCCTCACCTAGTCTGGCAGTATTCTCCCTTCTCCACGAGCAGGGGGTGGGGCCGGAACACGAGCTCAATTTCTCCACCTGGCTCTGGGGGGCTGGGGGCCCCAGGAGGGCTTGGGGGCCCCAGCGTTCCCCCTCCCAGAGTCCCTCCCCGGTCACCAGAGTCTTCCGAACCGGCACCCCCACCCACCCCACCAGTGCCGCCTCCCCCTGTCCCTACACTGCTCCCCCCGGCACCCCCTCCACGGGGTCGCTTGGGAGCAGGGCCTGGGGCAGAGTCAGGGGCAGAGTCTGAGCTCACATCTTCTCCATCCCCTTCTCCCTCCCCGGGCTCTCCTTCCCCCCCACTCATCGTTGTGGTCTGATCTGACCCGGGTATCGGCCGCCTCACACGCTGGGCCCTGTAGAAGCAAGTGATTAAGGTTAGGAAGCATCCAGGATAAAGGGCTTAGACTTTAAACTTCAGAGAATTAAGAGATAAGAAAAATCCTCATGATGATACCTAACATTTATTAAACACTAACTGTGTGCTAAGCACTCTAAGTGTTTTGCACCAATCCCCTCACCTAATACAATGAATCCTATGACACAGGTAATTATGTTATCTCTATTTTATGGCTGAGGAAACTGAGGCTTAGAGAGGTTAAGTAACTTGTTAGCGATCATAGGCTGACACCTCTCAAAGTGTGGTAGCAGCACAGACATCCCCTGGGAGCTTGTGAAATGCAGACTCTCGGGCCCAACTGTAGACATACTGAATCAGAGTTTGCATCTGAAGATCTACAGGTAATTTGGATACACATGAAAGACTGAGAGATGCTGGCCTAGGAGGTGATTTAACTTCCAGCAGTATAAATCCAGAGCTTATTCTCAAAATCGCTCTACTGTTCTAACTTCTAGAAAGTCAAGAGGTAAACTGTATTTTTCCTCCTTCTTCTTTTTTTTTTTTTTTTTGAGACTGGGCCTTTTTCTTTCGCCCAGGCTGGAGTGCAGTGGTATGATCATGGTTCACTGCAGCCTCCACTTCCTTCCTAGGCTCAAGGGATCCCCTTACTTCAGCCTCCCAAGTAGGTAGGACTACAGGCATGTGCCACCATGCCCAGCTAAATGTTTAATTTGTTGTAGAGATGAGGTTTCCCTATGTTATTCAAGGTGGTCTCAAACTCCTGGGCTCAAGTGATCCTCCCATCCTCACCTCCCAAAGTGCTGGGATTACAGATGTGAGTCACTGTGCCCAGCCCTATATTTTTCTTAAGAATAGCAGTGCCAGTTGTTTACTAAGAAACTGCAATTTATACCCATGATTTCCAGCCCTAATGATCAGTCTGTGGTCAGCTCTTAGGATGCTGAGGCTTAGAAGCTAGCAGGCAACAAAGACTGATCCACGGACCCATCCCACCACTCCTGCTTCTCTCCTGACCCTCACACCTGTGCATGGCCTGCATTCGTAGCCCCTCCTCAATGCTGGAGCTCAATGCCTGCTGGTTGTGCAGGCGGCTCAGGCGGATAAGCACTCGATCTTGATGGGCCTCATATTCCTCCCGGCTAGGATAGATCTTAGAGATCAGGGCATCAAAGTTGGGGTCTGGCCGTAGGGATCGCTTGGACACCAGCTTCTTTCGGCAGGTAGGACACTCCTTGTTCCTGGGGTAGAAGAAGGGAAGCCCTGAGTGGTCAGTCAAGCGAACTGAAGCCTAAGCTGAACCAAGACCAGTGAGAGGGCCCTAACATTGTACCCCTTCATCTCATCTCAAACATGTCTCTCCTATTACCCGCTCCGTAGGGCTGTGACAATGCAGTCAGAGCAGAATCTGTGGAGGCACTCCTTGGTGGTCATCGTATTCTTCAGCATGTCCAGGCAGATAGGGCACATGAGTTCTGAATGCAGTGACCGAGGGGAAACAGCAATCTCTGTGCCATCCATTATGGCTTCCTGGAGGCATCAGTGAGTAGAGAGGTGGTGTGGGTTAGAGGGAAAGGGGTTTTAGAAACAGCAGCCCATAAAATAAGAGTTTTGAAAAATACAGTGAGAAGGCAGAATCTGGGTACCCACGCTGGTCTCTATTCGAGACAAGAATTTTGAGAAAGAGAAGACTGATGACTTGGAGCAAATGGAGAAAACACAGACTTTAGTGTCCATTAACTAAGAGTAGGAGCTTTGGAATAGGAGGATCTGAGGTAACTAAGTGGCCTAGGAGTGAAGATGGCACAAATCTGTGGCTGGGAAAAACTATTTGACAAAAATTTTTAAAGTCCTGGTGCTACCTGTATTAGAACCCCATAGGGTGCCTGTTAAAAATTCAGATTCTGAGAACCCAATCCACTACTGAATCAGAATGTTGGGGAGCATTAAGCTCTGCTTTTAATAAACTCCCAAGGTGAGTCTTATATGCACTGACTTATAATACTGAATGAGGAACAGGGAAAGTAATTTTTGTGTTTGCGATCTTTCAAATGAAGACAATAATACTTGCTCCACCTCTCTGGCAGGACTGTTTGGAGGATTAAATGAGGTAAATGCGAAGTGCTTTGGAAAGATTAAGGTGATTCAAAGATAGGGCCAGGCAGGGCAGAATAGAGCAAATTATGGAAAAGAAGCTGTGTGATGGGGTCTGTGGATGGAGGGGTTTGCGGGAGGGGGTAAGCCTGAAAGGGAGAATGCCTGTCACCTGCGGGGTCCGGTGCAGCTCATACAGACTCAGTTCCCACGTTTTGCTGGCATTCTGGGCATTCGCCGGCGTCGTCATGGTGACCGGGCACAGACCCCCCCCCCACCAGGGCTCTACAGCCGAGGAGGAGGCGAGGAAGGCTGGGGGTGGGGGAAAGGGGAGGAGGGCGTTAGGGGGGCCGCCCCTCGCGCAGACCCCGCCCCTCCAGAAGCGCCCCTCTCCGCCCCCGCTCCCGCCCCCGCGCCGGCACTGCCCCTCACCCAGCTCCAGCCGTTCGCGCTTCCGCCGCCGCTGCGCCTCTCTCTGGGCCCGGGCTCCTGCGCCAAGTTCGCTGGGTCCGCAACTGCTGCTCAGACAGCAGCTCCCGCCACTGCCGCCGCCATGGCCCGGGCGCTGGGGCCCTACGTCACTTCCGCCTGCTCCTCCGCTACACCCGCCCCCCCGCCGGCGGAGACGTCACCCGCCATTCGCGGCGCGGGTGGGACGGGACGTGGACGCCGAGGTTCTCCCGCCCACGGGACGAGTTCGTCCCACGTGAGGATCCTGCGTCCCGGGAGTTCTGCGCCACTTAGGGAACCACGGTCTCCGCCCCCGGCCCAGCACCGTCGCGCGGCCAAGAACCTTAGCCTCGGTTCCCTTCCAGAGGCCCCCACCCGGGGCCTCAGCTCCAGGGGGCGGGGCCTGGAATATCTGGGACCCCAGGAGGGGACAGAGGGTTCGTGAAAAGGGCTACCTCCCCCACTCTGCGTACCCTGGCGACTCTGGGGATCAACCCCCCTTACTTCTCCGTAACCCCCATTCCAGGATTCCGTGGAAAAACGCTGCAAAAGATCCTCTGCCGCTTTTGCCCTCTAGTCCAGAGAACACACCTAGGTCCCGATGTGCTCGGGATTCCCCTTACCACCCTGGGGACTCCCTCCACCCTCCACTTTCGTTCTCCCTAGACCCTCCGACCCGCTCTCCCCCTCGAGGTTTGGGGGCGGCGGCTCGGGACGTCCAGACTCAACTCTCGGCCAGAGCCATAGACTCGAGAATTGCGTTTGGACAATCAGGAGCCGCGGCCCGGGGCGGGGAAGGGAGGGAGGCGCACGGGAGGAACGGGAGGAATGGAGACACCACGCGGAAACAGGGACACACACAAGATGGGGCTCCCACTGGGGAGTGGGGGTGCGCGTGTGGGTGGGGTACACAGGGTCAGAATGTCTGGAGTGGGAAGTGGGCAGAAGCCTCTTCCAGGACTCTAAAGTAAACGAAGGGGATGGGGAGGAAAGAGAAGAGGAAGGGGCAGAGCGATCCCCATTGAGTGTAGGGAATGAGAGGGATACGGAGCGAGGGGGTAGGGGGCAGTTAGAGACCCTGATGGGCGTCTTGTCCCCGCCCGAGCTGAGGCTCCCGGACTTGGGCTGCGGCTGCCAGGGGGTGGCCTGTCTCTGGGACAAGGCAGCAGTGGGTGCCCTCGCCCCCCACCCCAGTTCCCCCCTACTTCCCTGTCCTCTCCTTCAGTCCGTGGCCAGTCCTTATGTGGGCGCCAGAGTCGATTAGCGCAGACCCCCCTCCCCTTCCTCCTCCTCTTTCCAACCCCCTCCCTCCTGCTCTCTCCAGCCCCTTTCATCGGCTGGTTCATTCCCCTAATCCTGGCCCCCTCCCCTAATCCCCCCCATCCGACCCCAGGCCGGCTGCAGCTATTGTAAGGTGGAGAGAAAGGGGAGGGGGGGACTCAGAGAAAGGAGAGGGGTGGGGGAGGGCCACCTGTTCCAAGACCCCCTTTCAAGGCCAGACTGGACACCAAGATGAGGCCATGAACAAATCAACCTTGGGGACCATAAGAACCCAGGGAGTTGGGGGGAGGGGACTGGTGCAGCAGAACCAGTGGAAAGGGGTGATGCAGAAACCCCTCCCTCCAAAAAGACCCGGAGTGTCACGCATACACAGTGACACACACTCTTTCCTCTCACACCCGGCGGCGGGGGTTGCCCTGGGAGACCAGGCAGTGAAAGGGAACAATCCTTCGGGAAAGGGAAAGGAGGGGGAGGTGGGGAAGGGTCTGAGGGCTTGGACACAAGAAGAACCGGAGGTGGCAGGGAAGAGGATTTGGAATTTATTAGGGTCACAAGCACCCCTGCTTCCCATATTCAGCATTCCTGAGCCATACACTGCCACCCCTTTTGTAGCCTGGGAACTTAGAGTCCTCATCAGCAGGAGGCCAGGCAGAGTGATGGGGGGTGAGCAGAGTCCAGGGTGCTTGAGGCAGTTACATGAAAAGACCTCCTGGGAGGGGCAGAAACATTTGGACAGATGCATGGGTGGAGAGACAAATGGGCTAGGGGGTGCCCACTTTTGTCCCTGGCCTTGGGGACCTCTGCCCTTCCCGTGGCTCCAGACTCCCTTTACTTGCTTTCTCATATAGTCTGGGTTCTACTTCTCTGCCCTGTCCCTCCCCATGCTGGCCTCATACCAGTGACTTCCACTGAGGCCCCTGTGATGTATCCACTGTCTTCAGATGCCAAGAATGCGACCACATCTGCCACATCTACGAGAATGGTGGGGAGAGGGCAGAATCCTGCTCACTCCTATAGACCCAAAATAGCTATAATCTCCCACCAAAGACATCCCTCCCTACAAACCTCTCCACAGACACCAACCACCAGTCCCGTAGAAAATCCCAAAACCTTGGGGATCTCTTCATTCAGGCCCCCTTCCCAGGGACTCCTCTCCATTCAGTGCTCACCCTCAGGGTCCCCCAAGTATCCCATCGGGATCATTTCAGTAATCTGTAAGGAAATACTCATGTGGGTGAAAGCTGCTTTTATGGATTTTTTTGAAGACTGAGTCTGTGACCCTTTTTTGTTTTCATTCCTCATACATTCATTGAATATTTAATGTTTGCCAGGAACTGTGCCCAGTATTCTCTCTCTGTGAAGCCCAGAGAGATGGAGTCTCTGAATGCTTCTGCCCTCCACCCACAGCCTCCTACCTTGTCCACCACTTTCTGTGGCACTTTCTGTGTCATGGGTGTTGCAATGAACCCTGGGAGGACAGAGTTACAGCGGATCCCATGTCTGTGGGAAGGAGAGTGGCTGCTGATTCTGGAGAAGGCTGAATGCTGGTCCCTCCTTCAGACCCCCCAGGTGCTCCCCAGCACCCTCAAGCATCTGACCAACCGTCCAAGCTCCCGGGCTGCAGTCTGGGTCAGCCCAATCACTCCAGCCTTGGATGCTACATAGTTTGTCTGCCCCATGTTCCCCACCTATAGGTGAGTCAGAGATGTGGAATGAGTCAGGAGTCTCAAGGAGGAGTTCTCTCTATGCCACTTGGCTGACTGACCTCGTCCAACTCAACCTGACCTTTCCTGTGATGCTACTGATGTTGATGATGGAACCACGACAACCACTGGACACCAGGGCTTGTGCTGCAGCCTGAGTGACTAGGAAGGTACCCTGGCGGGAAAGGGTAACAAGGGAGAAAAGATCAGCTGCGGTGACAGCCCTCCTTCAGCTCCCTCTCCAGGCTAAGGGGGCCAAAAGTAGCAGGTTCAGAGATCGCCACCTTGAGGTTGACAGCTATGACTTTGTCCCAGTCATCCTCAGACATGTGCAGCAGAAACTCATCCTGGGTGATGCCCGCACAGGACACAACGACAGATGGTGGGCGAGAAAAGCAGGCCTATGGGAGGGGGAAGTTACGCATCAAAAAACCCCCCCAAAGAGCCGGGGCAGTGGAGGTAATATTAGAGCTATTAGAGCTTTAGAGGGGGAAGGTAGCCTGGCGTTCACCTGCACTTGTTCCAGCAGGCGCCTGGCGGCTCTGGCCTCAGACACGTCAGCCTGGAAGGCAGCGTGGTTCCCTCGGGGCGGCCCCTCCTTGTTCCCTGGCCCGCCCAGCAGCCGCACCGTCTCCTGTGCCGCTGCCCCGTCCAGGTCGCAGGCAGCTACGGTGGCCCCCTCTCCGGCCAGGCGTACACTGACTGCTCGGCCGATGCCGCTCCCCGCACCTGAGGTAGGACAGAACACGCCGGACCGGGCAAGGGGAGGAGGCGGCAGAGATCAGAGGTCACAGGGCAGAAAGTTAGTAAAATGTGGATAAGGGGTCAGAGGTCACAGCAGCCGCGGACTCCAAGGGCAAGCCCCTGACATCACTCCAACACCCCAAACCGCCCCAGGAGAGAACCCCCTCAACCTGTGACCAAGGCCAGTGCGGAGCGGAGCCGGTTCTGGAGCTGAGACGCCATTGCGGCCTGTGGGTGGGTGGGAACCCCAGCACTAAGCCAATCCCAGCGCAGAGGGGGGTGTGGCCAGGGCAAAGCCGGGGCCAATCAAAGACCCGCCAGCCTTAGGCCATCTGTGGCCACCAGCGGAGGCCGACCTCCCACTGCGGGGGCGTGGCCAGACACTGCTGCTTAGGGGCCCCGGGTGCGGAGAAGACAGGGGGCCCAATTCCCCCCAAAAAGACAAAGACAGGGGGCCCAATTCCCCCCAAAAAGACAAAGACTGCATGTAGGGCGGAAGATCGGAGGACTTTATTTCCGGTTGCCACCCCTCCCCCTCGAGTCAAACAGTGATATAAAAGGAATAGAAACAAAAAAAATCAGGCCATGAGATTACCAACTAACCCTCTCCCACCCCCATCCCCCGGAATCACTCCCAAATTAGGACACATGATTGATGTCTGATGTTTATCCCCGACTCCTCCTGTTACCCTCTCTGTCCAGGACTCTGGTCTTCTCTGAAGCCTTCACCGACTGGTGGGAGAAAGGGAACTGGACCTTGGAGAACTTTCTGTATAGCAACTTGGTTCTCCGAGAACAGGTGGGGTAGGGGACACCAGGTAAGCTGCCATCACCCCCTCTCCCTTCCAACCTTCTTCATGGCCCCATTTAGCCTTCCAAACGCAACATGGTCAAGAGGTGCCCAACACTATCATCCCTCTGGCCTCTCATTCTCACTGCTCCAGCCTCTAAGACTGCCAGCCCTTGAAGGCCCTAATGCCAAAGTAACCATTCTCCCAATCTACAGTTCCTTCCTTGGCAGATGTCCCTGGCCAGGGTCCCCAACCTCTACACACCACTGACCTGGAGTTAGGGGTAGAAGTTTGGGGCAGGAGTTTATCCCACGCCTCACTCGAGATGGGCAATCAGCACCATCATGACAACTCCCCCCAGCAGCCCCAGCACCTCCAGAAGTGACTGCAATGGTGATGCCTCCCTCAGCAGCTCGGGCAACACAGACACTGTTGCTACGTAGATAAAGCCACCTGCAGTAAATGGCAGGACCCAGCCAGGACCTGCACCACCTGCAACTTCACTGCCCACTGCTCCTCCTTCAGTGAGAAGGGCACAGGCTGTGCCTGCCAGTGCCCCTACTGCTGTCAATAGTTGCAGACGCATTGCCTGATGGGCAGAAAAGAGAAAAACGCACTCACCAATAGCTAAAGATTATCAGTGGTTTAGAAGTGGCTGGTGGGATATAGGTATAGGGGACATGGATTTGGAAACTAAACATCAAAGTAAAAAGAGAGGAGGGGGCAGTCTAGAATAGACAATTTCTGAAAAATTTTAGCCATTAGAGGTCCTTTCCAGACTTTCTGATTGAGTAGGTGTGTGTATTTAAGACTCCACTAAACCATTCAGATGGTTTATAGACCACAGTTTAAGAAATACTGAGCTAAAGGACAAAGTAACCAGAACTTCTTCCCCCTCATTTCTAGAGGACTTGTCAATGACAGTATGAATTGTTTGGAACTAATAAGAGGCTGTTTGGGTTTAGGGTGAGTGAGGAGAAATAAAGGGTTTGAGGTAGCTGTGTTTGGCAGACATCACCAACCTGCTTTTTGCTGCAGCCAGACTGGACCAAGATGGCAAAGTCTCCGACCTCATGGGGCACTTCATGTAGCAGGACAGTCATTGTGGTCAGGATCCCTAGCCCCCGACCCCCTCGAAAGGAAGCCCCAATGGCCAGACCATCAGTGAAGTTGTGTGCCAAGTCAGCAGCCAGATTCAGGTACCCTGACACACGCAGATCTTGTACAGGACGAGAAGAGAAAATGATCAGAGGCCTCCATCACCACTTGTTCAGTCTTGGTCAGTTATTCTCACACCTCCCCTCAGAGACCACTTCACTCACAGTCTTTTAGTGTTTCCGAGACACCTGCCATTACCCACAGCACATATTCCATGTGATTTGTGATGATGTCCCTTGCCCAAATTTATGACCAACTCTGGCCCTTACCTAAGCCTCTTTTTTCTTCTTCAGCATTCTGAGGTCTCACTGGCCCATCTTTGGGTACCGTGCTCCCTCCTCGCCTCTTCTGAACCCCCCCTGTTTCCTTTTCTTCTTCTTCTGAGCTCTGCTTCTCCTTTGTAGAACGCTCTGAGGGAAGAAAAGAGTTGGTCAGCGTGGAGAACAGATCTTCCAACATGTCCTCTCCCTCCTGAGGGCCGTAAGATGAGGAGATTCTGAGGCAGGCAAGTCAGCTTTCGGGAAAGTTGTTCCTGGGCTCACCTTGTCTTCCATGTCCATGACTTCCATGTGTGTGACTGTGAGCGTGTCCATGTCCATGACTGTGACCATGTCCTCCTTTCACATGTCTCACAAATTTCTCCACAACAAGAAAGGCAACAATTCCACTGAGAACCCACAGTCCCACAGACAGAATGGGGCCCTGGCCTGGGAATGGAGGCATTGAGACATTAAAGGAGATGTGCATTACAGACTCCTCCTCCTCAAGTGCAGGAGGTGAGGAATAGGGAGAGACAGACCTTCCCCAGCACCCCAACTCCCATCCCCATCTGTCTCTTCCTCACCACTGTGGGAGTGTCCATGTCCGTGTTGCTCCAGAGTGTGGTGAGAATGAGGTTCTGGAAGATGGGGGGAAAACCAGATGAGGGAATATCTGACACAAAGGGTGTGTATTTGGGGGAATATCGAAAGGTCAGGGATCATAAAGGAGAAAGAACCCTTTTCCCCCAAAGAACAAAATAGGTTAGATTTGAGGTAGAAGTCAGAGGTTACTTACCAAGAGCATGAGGAATGAGGTGCAGGAAGGCATCTCCCAGGAGCCCACCGGAAGCAAAACTGAGCAAGATCTGAAGTAGAGAGCGATGCCGGGGAGAGTTTGACTCCACGGGGATAAGGAAGAGGACAAAAAATGGAGCTGCTGAGATCAGCACTGTGGCCCCCAGTGCCTGGTGAGGGAGAGTCAGGGTCAAGTACTGTGGTGTTTCCCAACAATCCAGAACCAGCCCCTCTCTCTCCCATCCCCTGGAGACTCACATAAGCCCAGAGAGTGACAGCATCCAGGTCCTGCTTGATGCCTGGAGCCCCAGACTCCCCATAGCCTCCATGGCTATGCTCATGGTCATGTCCATGTCCTCTGTGGTAGAGGCTCTCATGGGAGTGGCCATGGCTATGGCCATGGTGTAAATCCTCATGTGAATGTCCATGGTCGTGACCGTGGGTATGTCCATGCCAGATGCTCTCGTGAGTGTGGCCATGGCCATGGGCATGGCTGTGTCCATGGTGGAAATCTTCATGTGAGTGCCTGTGACTGTGGCCATGGAAGTCCTCTTGCAGATCGTCGTGCAGGTCGTCATGACCCGCGAGTCCAGCCACCAGAAGCCCCAAGGCCGCCCAGGTCAGCAGTCCCACGGCCACCCAGTGGGGGGCCCCCAGCCCTCTGGCCATCACGCTGACCAGAGGGACAGAGACAGTGACTCCACTTGACTCAACTCTATACCTACACAGGGTCAGCTTTACTCCAATAGCGCCCTCCGTCCACCTCTATGGGCCGCTCTCCCATTCCCTTAAGTTCCCACCTACCTACATTGTTCCCAAGACTAGTTCTCTTTATCCCGAACCCCCTCCCGGATGTAGGGCCCTGGGACACTAGTCTTTCACCAGCCACTTTACAGACTCTCTGGGCCCTCGTCTCTATGACTCATTAGGTAAGGAAAAGGCCTGGAAAGGATGGTAGAGAAAAACAGAGAATTCTCACCAGCTCCGGGATCCTCTCCTTTCCCGGTTTGCTCGGACGTGGCAGTCCCGCCTTTAGCTCCCGCGAGAACAGGAAGTTCCGTTCCACCTTCGTCCTAATGCCTTTACCAATATGGCGGCACTCTGGTAGCGACGAGTCCATCCTGCACTGATGCGCATGCGCGAGTGTGGAGGTTATTTGAGGGGAGGGTGGGCGAGGCGGGCTAACAGGCCGGAGGAGACCGCCTCCTCGGTTTCCAACTAGACGAGGGGGCGGGAACTCGCGCCGAGACTTCCCGTCTGTACAAAGATGGCTGCCACATTGGCGCTGTCATTTTGGTACAGAGCAGAGCGACGGGCTTAATTCTACCCAATCCAGGCCAGAGTCTTTCTCTCAGGGGCTTCCTCGTGCTCAGCTACTCCTCCGATCAACCCCTGGGAATCCCTGGGAGGTTTTCGGTATCCCTACTCTCAGCCAGGGATATGTCTTGGGCCGCTCGCCCGCCCTTCCTCCCTCAGCGGCATGCCGCAGGGCAGTGTGGGCCGGTGGGGGTGCGAAAAGAAATGCATTGTGGGGTCGCGTCCCGGTGGCGGCGGCGACGGCCCTGGCTGGATCCCGCAGCGGCGGCGGCGGCGGCGGTGGCAGGCGGAGAACAACAAACCCCGGAGCCGGAGCCGGGGGAGGCTGGACGGGACGGGATGGGCGACAGCGGGCGGGGTGAGTGTCCCAGCAGAAGGGCAGGCGAGCCAGTAACCGCGTTATCTGCAACCCCTCCCCCACACCCTCCTCTGATTTTCCTGGCGCTCCCGCCCCCTTGTTTGTAAACACGCGTCCCCTCCCTCCCGAGGTCCTTAGCACCCTCCTCCCCGGGGCGGGGCGGGGAAGGGGAGCTTCCGCCCTCCTAACCGTGACCGCTGGAGGCCTTGGGCACCGGAGGTCGCGGGCGTGGGAAGGGCACGATTCCTCTTAAGCTTCAGGACTTTGGGCGTTTAAAGGCAGATCTTGCGTCGTAGGAGGGGTCTCTCCCGCCTATCTCTTTCCCCTGCACGCTCTGGCTACCTGGCTTTACGCTGGAAATAGAGGGGCTCGATGGTCTACCCCACGTGTTGCCCCACCCACGAGACAGGTGTGGCTTTAGGATGACCTGGTATTCAAATAGATCGGTTGGAAAATTTTCCTCACCTGAACTATCCTCCTCTCCTTGTCACCTCCCTCCTCTCACCACAATGAGGAGTTATGCTGTGTTTTTTTAGCCAGTCAAATATAGCAGTGGGGGGTTGTATATCAATTTTAGTGACACTAATGTTTATTAATAAGTTCTGATAACCCACTACCATCGGACCAGCCGGAGTTACACTGTTGTTTGACAGCAGGGTGTCTCTGGACTTGGGGATGGGTGGAGTGGGCTGGGCCCGGAACGGTGGGGTATTAGAGAATTAAAGTCTCTAGTTGGATGTTTGAAGACTCATTTTCTTTTTTTGT